GCGCCGAGTATCGTAATGCAGCTGGGCATCCCTCGATTCATGCTCGAGAACGCGTTCTGATCGCGTTAGTGTCCGACGGCTAAGGCGGCGGAGGCGCGCTATCACCGTCGCCGATAACGCATTAATCCGCAAAATATGCGCCTGTTTAGAAGAACGTCGATCGAATGCCGTACCAGAGACTATGCACAACGCGCCATTGCGTATGTATCTCGACAACTCGATAACGCGACGATAACACTGCGAGCTGAGCGGTGCTAAAATACTAACGTAGTCGCCGCTCACTTTCCGCGGCGGTAATCCGCGATAAAGGAGAAAAGAGGGAAGAGAGAATTCCTCCTCGTGAAAATTACGTATTGCGACGTACGAAAGCAACTCCGAACGCACACACGTATCGGGAACCCGGTGTAATCCACCGAACAATTATTTACTTGGCCGCGTCCCCTTATCGTCGTTTCAACCCGTCCATAAATGACGCGTCTATCGGGAGAGGGAGACGCTTCGTCGGTGACGTACTGGCGAGTGATGCGCAATCGGCATGACGCGGCTTCGCGGATGTGCACTCGTGTCGTGCGTGTGTACATACAAACCAAACGGGTGGGAGGGGGGTGGTGATTCACACTGTAATGCAGCCAGACGCACGACACAGTTCTGGACACACAGTTTGGTGTCCGCGCGCGCGCGCGTCCGCCATCGATCGGCGCTCTCGAGCGCAATCAATTTCTCATCGGCTACGGCGCGAATGGAAGATCATTATCGGCGTAGGAATGCCCGTAAGGGGTAGGGAAGGCTGGGTCACCCCCTCCGTGATGGTGTTCTTCTCTTTCTCTCACACTCTTGACGATGTGGCGTGTAACGTATGAGAGCCACGGTACCGTGTTACCGCGATCGTTCGCAGCCCGGCCCTCATTCTCTCGCGCTCCTCTCCTCTCCGGCCGGCGGCAGTTCGCATTCGGTGGTCGCACACACTCGTACCTGTCCCGGCCGCTAACTTATCCCCGATACCGTCAGCTGCGTATGTCTGTCAGGTTAATGTCCCTGATCAGCACGAGAACGTATGGACACCGGTCTCTCGGAGCGGCGCTGCGAAAAATGGCCCGCGACCTGCGTACCTGCGCCACGGCGTGATTTATCGAGCGGTCGTGTTTTACGCCGACCGAGGAGATTAGTATCGGAAGGAGATGGACGCGCGGGGACGATTGCGGGCCCTTTATCCCTGCACATCGTGCACCGTGTGCGTAGCGCACGCGAAATCGTATCACGCGATCTCCGTCGCGACGGTAATATCTTTGACGAGCGAACCGAACGGCTAACACGTTTATTCTCTTAGGTTGAATCGGGGAAACGTTATCGCGATGATCAGAGTATTCGCTCATTTTTAGTGGGAACTCATTTTCCCACTCGATTTTATACGCGATTTTCGTACCGGAATTAAAGTGTTCGCTAAGCTTATCGCAAACGTATCTTATTCTTGTCTTAAGGTGTAGCGATTTACCGTTCCAGAGAAAATGAGTAGGTACTTTTGGAGGCCATTTTGCCTGGAACGGTAAATGGCTACACTTTAATACGTATATATTCGTAATTAGATTGTCAAGTTCTTCAGTCTGACGCCAAAATCGGGTGTATAGTCGAGCGGGGAAATAACGGAGGGGACATCTTAGCGGAACTCTTTTATCAATTTGCAGCGCTACACTTGTAACTATGGTCACTAGTGACTATTGACCGCTTCTCGGTGACAGTACACTGATTGCACTTTGAAGAATGTAGAATTGAAATACGAAACGGTGTGTCATACATACCGCACACCGCGAGACGGGGGATGATAACGAGAGGAGAACAATGAGCGCGGCATCCTTCTGGTCCGATGTCAAAGGGTAACAAGCCATCTGGTAACGATACAGAAGCGATCGTGGTATCCGGATGACCCGCAATTTTCGCCCGGCGGGGGATGGATGGAGGATGGAGAGGGAAGGAAGGTTCACAATCCCCTTATACAAACGTATTTCGCAAAGGGAGCGCCGATTCACTATCTGCCCCGCTTGTTAGTTTTTTTTTTTTTCGCAGGCAACAAGGCGGAGGAGTGGCGATTCAATTGCGGACGAAGTCGCGGCCGCATACGCGACTCGTCCTCGATTTATTTTCCACTCGGGGTTTTTTTATCCCCGAGGTAACGCGGCGATCGATCAAAGATGGAAGATCGATGGCGCTCGGACAAAAGCGGATCGGCCGGCTCTCTCGGCTTGCCCGAAATTTAGAAATATTCCGTCGACGTACGCGCGCGCGCGGATATTCGCGGTCAAGAAGAACAACGGAATGTCAAGGGTGCCTCGAAGATCCTGACCTGGGGGTCAGGAGCGCTCTCGACGTCGAGTATAAGATATATCTTATGCATAATGCTTTATGAATATATTCGCGATAAACCGGCGCTCGGCGGCGCGCACACTATTTCCCCGCCCGGCAAAATAAAGTAAAGGAAACTGAAAGAGAGAGAGAGAGAGAGAGAGAGAAAAAGGAGGATGTAATTTACGGTAACTGCGTTGTTACGGGGCAATTATCATAAATTAGCGTCGAATAAACCGTTATTAATTATTACTGCGAGTTAACACTCGGTTGCTCTTAGATATTTCCTCGACGCGGTCCAACGATTTCTGAAGCGTTGAAAAACGCGTCGAGCTTCAAACAGTTATTACGCTTGATTATTTTTATTAAACTTACGTCTCGATTATTTGCGATCGCGACTTTAGCCGGTCGATAGCCGGACGAAAACACGCTTTGTCGTCATGCCTGGCTCTTTCTGCTCACGCGGAGGTACAACCCGGCGAAGAATGAAGACCGACGGGCTGAATTCCTGACGGGCCCGTCGGTCCCATTGGACGAACTACAGTAGACTGTCGAGGTAACTGATCGTTCCTCTTAATAGGCGCTACCATGCGCGAAGAGTCGTCGAATTCTTGAGATACCTGCAGCGCATCGTAAAACCGACCGACGTCCGGCGCCTCTCTTCGGAATGCTCACGAAGAGCAACGTTCGCCGAGTCGCCCGAGAACGTATCTCCTGAGTAGGAAATGAAGTTTACTCTCTCTCTCTCTTTCTCTTTCCTGGCATCCAAACGAAGGACCAATGTCCACTGACGAATGCGAGTGCGATCCCGGTTAGAATAGTTGTCGCGCAATTGAGCCGACGCGTTGACGGGAATTCCGGCGTATCGCGGCATCTTCATTTCGGCGTGACGTCGTTAGCGTCGCAAAAACGCGCTTCAACCCTCTCTCGAAACTAACGACGGGTTCCTCGCGCGCGTTCTCGTTAACGTCGTATCTTAACGACGCCTGTGCTCTCTCTTCAGCCGAGGAAAGCGAGGAAAACCAACCAACCCACTCACCCACCCACGTATCCGACCACCCTGTCTCTGTTACCCGCAACTTCAGTCGAGTGGTGACAATACCGCGCCCGTACGAGTAACGTGCTGAAGAGAATTGCGTCCCCGAGACTTGCGCTGCCGAGCTCGGTATACTCGCGAGACTAAAGAACGCAGGGAGCGATTTCGTTTTACGAGGAATACCGTTCTCTTCACCGAGGGGCGTCCGAGGCGTCGAAATCTGGTCATTAACGCTCTCTGAGTCCGTTGAAAAATCCAAATTCTTATTAGAAGTAACATGAGCGAACTCCGAGACGCAGAGAGAGAGAGAGAGAGAGAAACATACAGGGTGAGGGTGAATCAGGCGGGAGGCTTCGGAACTGTGTCGTGCCGATGTCGCGTCGGGGCGATTTCGTTTAACGACGCGCCTTCGCGCGGTAAGCTTTGCAAATAACACGCAAGCATGGTAAGCCCTCGCGAGCGCGGTGTTATTACGCGGAACACCGGGCACGTTAACGACGAGGGCGGCGGGTGTCTGTCGTTCCTCGCGACGCCGGGATGTAAATCCACTCATATTTCACTCCATCGGGAAGCCGAACAGCCCGGTCGCCGGCGTCTGTCGAGCGAGAATAAGTGCCGTCGAGGGGAAGCAGCCGCTCCCCACGCTCGATGAAACAGCGGTAATAAGCCCGGTATCGCCGCTCGAAACACGCTCGCTTCGGTATTCCCGGAGAGGAAATGAAGATTTCCCAGCGCCGCCGCAGACCGCTCCGCTCGCAAGTCGGTCAGCAAACGTAGGAAGTCTCGAAACTGGTTTGTCGGATAATTGAGATCCACCAATGGGAATCCGAGAAACTTGGAGAATCTCGGCCGGCGGACTGTAACGATCCTGTATATACCGCGGACGGCGGAGATTCGCCGCGGTGGTATTTCCCAGCAACAAGATTTAACGGCGAGGGCCGGGGAAGGAACACGTTTTCCGCCACGGTCATTGATTCTTACGAGCGCCGGCCGCGGGACAAAAATTCCGGACACGCCGAGGTATCGCGCGCCGATATCGCCCTCGCGGAAATTAAGCGGGCCCTTAACGCCTCAAGACACGAGCGCGGGTATCGCGCGGTGGAGATATCGACGTACCTTTAACCGGTTCGAGGAACGGGAGCGCTTCAAAAGAATCCGTATATCTCGTGGTTCAATGGTTTCCTCTCGATCGCATACAAAGCGAGTCTCTCGGACGGAAACTCCCAATCATCCGGAATTGATTCCGTCGATACTTCCTCTCCCGGAGGAAGGTTGTTTCCCAGCGAAATAATGCGAGTATAATTCCGAGCGACCGCTCTTCCGCATGGTTGTTGCATTTCATTTCGGCTGCCAGCGTTTTCCCTTTCCGCGGGACGGTCGCGCGGAAAAATACGGAGGATGGAAAGCGCCGGTCAGAGCACGGATGAAAGGGACAATTTCGGACGTCCGGGGAAATTATATAAGCGAATTCGATTGTTCCTTTCTGTCGTGATTACGGCGATTAGAGAAGTCTCGTTCTGCAGCGTTTCCGCTAATAGAGGCCGTTTGGGAAATAAAGAGGGGTGTAAGAAAAAGTCGACATTTAAATTGAAACGCGCTATATGCACGCGACTCTCTTTTATTACAGAACCCGTGACGGAAATAGCCGGTGGTCCGGATCTGTTTATCAACAAGGACAGCACGATAAACTTAACGTGCTACGTGAGATTCGCGCCCGAGCCGCCGTCGACGATAATTTGGAGTCACAACCACCAGGTAAGCGGATCTTACGGCTTGCGAATGACCCGCTTGCCGCGTTGAAAGTCACTATCGCCGCAGTCGCGCCCGAAACTCGCGTCACGAAGACGCTTTCAACTGAAACCTATCTGAATTTCATAACCAACGTCGGTTTGCGAGCGAGACACTGACATCGGTACAAACAGAGACATTTTTCATGTTTCTCGCAATCGTTGAAAGAAAAAGAAAAAATCGAGGAGAAAGATAGATAGATAGATAGAGAGAGAGAGAGAGAGAGATACAGAAAGAAAGAAAGCGAGAGAGGAAAACAGTCCCCGCAGCTGTGTACGACCTTCCATCGATCCGGCGTGTCTATCGATTATCGCCGGTAACAACTCCTTCGAGCTTGCGATATTTATGAAAGGCACCGACAATGTTTTCTCCCCGTGGTCGATGAGATGACACATTTGCGCTCCAATCGCACGCGCGCGAACGTCTACCTTGAATAATCGAGTCTCTCGCGACATCGACGCGAATCGTTTGTTGCAGACGCATCGTAAAAGTTTCCGGATGTATATAGATATATATATATTTTTTTTTTTAGGTTGACGCGTTCGCGCGTAAATTATAATTAAGACAAATATTCTCGTAATGTGACATCAGTCTCATTCCGGCTTAAGAGCCTCGTGACAGCACTTATTTCCGTGAATGCGTACAAGCGGAATAACCGAGACGCTTGCACAGACGTCGCTTTAAGTCGTACTTTCGGGCGAAACTTGTCTCGAAACGCTTTCTGCCACTCAAGGAAGACACCTACAGTCGCCACTTTTGCCTCTTCCGCTCTCCACAAAGTGCCTTAAACCTCATCCAGTCACGTCAGTGACAGACCGAAACGGTGCACTTGCCTCTGTCCTTCACTGCGAGCAAGTAATTAACTTCCGTGCCGGTTAGTTATATACTTACGTCGCGATTGTCCGTGACAATTGAGTTCAACGATGGACATTGAGAAAGACGTAACACGTGCAACGGCGTTTTAATGAATTCTAAACTCTCCAAATTCACGATTCGCGGATCGTTTTCCACTAATGTTTTATTCTTTTTGTTTGTACTTTCGTTAAACAGTGAAATTTGAACGTTAATATTTATTTCGATATTTCACATGTATTGTGCGGCGATCGTTAAAAAATTATCACTGGAGTTCCTCGTCGACATTTGAGCCCATGCGGCTCTAAATACAGAGAGATCACGATCGTAATTCGACTGGTATTAGTCAAACATGATTAATTCATTGACGTGATGAATTCTGTTCCATATAATGAGGTTTAAAACAATCACGTATAATGGTCTGTTCAGTCAACCGATCCATTAATTACTGATTACGGTGAGATCCATCGAACATCTGCTAATTTCAATGGAATCGGGTTTTGAGATAAAAATAACGGATATATATTTTTGTTCCACGAAGAATGCGGAAGTTCCACGAAAAGGATAGAGAGAATATCAACGGCCGTTTTCTGAAATAAAGCTTTTGATTTTCCCGTTAGAGACTTTGGCCCAACGAAATCTCTCCGTTATCAGAGAGAAAGTGAGTCGGAAGATTTTTCGACGAAATCATTAATGACATCTTGAGAATAAAAAAGAACACTTTACGTGTTGAAGAATGCAAATGAGAAGAATCGACTCCTTTAGTAATGAGTACTCCTTTAGTAGTAGAGTGAGTGAAACATTCACCCCACGATTGGAGTGGAATATTCCCTCTTGTGAAAAGCGACATGCCATTCCATTTCACATAACGATATTTTCACTATCACTTGTAATAAATTCTCACTCGCTTGAAATGAGGTTTCACCTCAAGAAATTTCGAGAACACGTCGATATTCCGGGGGTTTTCGTAACTACGAAATCATGTATATATCACCTCGCACCGCCGTTTACTTCAATATTAACGGAATAACGGCGAATTTACTCGGAAAATGAATGTCACTGGGTTGAAAAAAAGTTCCGCGGCGAGAAGATTCTTATCACCGTCGCGAACACGTTCTGCGTCGACGCTTCCTTCCCTCTTCCTGCCTCGCCCGCAGAGTAGCCCCATCCGTAGCCGGTCACGTTAGAGACGAGTAAGTCGACGTGCTTTTTATCCTCCTTCTTTCGCAGGCGATTAACTTCGACTCACCGAGGGGTGGCATCAGCCTGGTAACGGAAAAAGGACCTGTGACTTCGAGCCGTTTACTCATTCAGAAGGCGATCGAGAGAGACTCCGGCCTTTACACGTGCTCGCCCAGTAACATTCATCCTAACAGCGTACGGGTCCACATAGTCAACGGTAAAGGAAAAATGCCAATTTCGTTTAGAACGGGCTCTACGTGCAGGCATCCGAGCCGTTATCGGTTTATCCTCGCGCGGAATGTTATTTACATTGGAAACTGGACACAACAAGAGAGAGACGCAAAACTCAAAATAAATTTTACTCTCGGCGGCTTATCGTCAGTAGTATCGAATCGCAATAATTTTTATCGTCCCTGCTGTTTGCCACGAAACAACCTGTACGAAGACACGTTTAAAGAAAGATTAACGTAGAATGAAATTGATCGTAGAAGTGACATCAATTGTATGAATTAGCAGTGTTATGACGTAAACGGGTGGAAGAGAAAATCGAAACCGTCTTTATTGAAGAACGAAATTTCAGCGTGCTGTTACATACGTAGAGACACACGGATAATAGAAAGAAGTATATAAGTGTTCAAATATATGCTTACGTGTATATATCTTAAATATTATTATAAATTATAAATTCTCTACCATTGTATTTTCAAAACGAAACGGTCAATAATTCTAGAATTTGCTTATAATATCTGCTTATAATATTAGTCTTGAAAATTACGATAATTTTTCAAACTTTCGTCTTAAACATAAATATGTTAAGTTACGAGAAATTTGGGCGTTTCGTGAGATTTTTATACGCTTTCACCCGCATAAACTTATAATTAAATATCTCGGGAACGACGGGGCAAAGACCATCGAAATTTCTATTGCGCATTGTTAGTTCGATTGACTTTTGCATCGTGTACATATTACAGGTTTATTTTATACTCAGTCAAACGGTTACAACTTCCTTGATCGATACGGCTCGCACTTTGAACCGTTAATCTTCCAAGCCGGGGCGTCCGCCTGGGGCGCGCTAAAACAGCTAATTGAACGCGATATCGGCAGTGATCTCGGGAGTGGTCTCGGGAGTATCAAGCCCGCCTCTTCGAATACACGGAAAGAGTCTTCTCATTGGAAACGCTTAGCTTGTAGCCGGTCGAGTGGAGCGCGACAGCTTCGCCCAAAGCAAGAGCTCGCGTTCTCACAGCGGCGCGGAAGCGTCGCTCTAAATACCACCTGCTAAGAATCGCCCGAGCGAAACGGCATTATAGCGTGGCGTTTGTTTCAGAAGAACACCCAGCGGCAATGCAGGGCAACGGCGACAGAATGGCCGCGACGTTGCTTCCGGTCGTCCTACTTCTTTGGATGATATTCTAGCCGGCGCTATGCACTCCGGGTTGAATGCGCGGAACTTAACGCGCCGGTCGGCGAACTCCTACGCGAGAACCACCGGTTCGTGAGGTTCTGTCTCGCGGTTTTGTCGTCGGGGATCCAACTCACTGCGACGCGCATTCGACACGTCTCTTCTGCGAAAGTAGCGGAATCTCAGCGGGGATTCGCGTCGCGTAGTTCCTTTTCCTCTCTTTCTCTCTCTCTCTCTCTCGTTGCGTTTCTCCCGTTTCGTTGTTACGCCGATTGGGAGGCATCCTGCCGTTGCGGAAGATTCAATTGCCGCAACGTCGTCGTCTGCGAGCTGAGGAAGGACTATTGTTGGTGGGTAGTTGCACTGGTAAATGTTGCCACTAAATATATTCAGTTGCACGTGTGATGAAACGATGATGATATTTTCGAGACATTGATGAGACCGAAATGTAGCCTGTTTGATACTCGAGAACTACGTACGGGAATAATCATTCGTTTGTGGAGCTTCCTCGAAAATTATTTAACGACACTTCTGAACCGCTCATCATTAATTCCTTCACCGTAATTGGCAGGTAAGAGTTCTCCCGCGGCATATCGTAACGCGATTCACTCACCGAAATCAGAAACTCCCGCGATACTTTCAAGGTCGTTGCTATTTTGCGAAAAAGAATAACGCCTAGAATCTTGCCCCGCTACTGCGGAAACAAGCGCGAAGTCTTTTTCTGTTCCGGCGGGAAGTCGCAAGTCCGTTCCCGTCGTCTGGAATCTTTCCTCACTTTTAAAAATAAAAATCGTCCGCGAGGAAGAAGAACACTTTCGCGAAGGCGGAGAATAGCCATGTGCGAATATAGACCGGTGTGACCTAAGAGAACGATCCAACAAACATTTCTGCGAATTTGCGCGAAGAAGAAGAACGGCAAAAGTGCACCGTTACCGAAGGAATCCGCTTATGAAGGCGGCACTTTCCGATATTAAGTCAATTGGAGGAAAGTCTGTTTGCGCGATGTGTCCCGTGTGAATTTCACCAATATTCGCGGAGCCGGGCGAATTTACGTCCACGTAAAATCGCATGCGCCAATTAAAGGCGGTGCAAATTTCGTCGAGGCATTCCTCAGGATATCCGGACGTTACAATGAAATCTGTGAATGAAGTCTGTCAATGAAGTCCAACTCTTTGCTGATCCGACTGTCAATCATTGGCCAAAATTTCATTATCCAGTTACAAATCATTATTAACAATTAATTAGATGTCTATTCCGCAGTGTGTTTATAATATATGGATGATTTTATAACGCGATATCAGCAGTGACTATAACGAAAACGTAAATTGGAGCAGCTTACAAAAATTAAATCATAATTCATTTTTATATCATAACAAACGGAAGTTTAGTTTTTTTACGGTACGAGCCTTTTTCTGCGAATCGTTTGAATAAAGATTGAAAAATCGCACTTCGCACTATTGTAGATTCGTCTTGAAATGATTTTAAGCGAATCAAAATTAACCGATAGAGCGGCACAATCGCTTCACGGTCAAAAGCGGAATATTCTCAGCTATAAAATGCAATTTACCGCCGTGTCGCTGCAACATTTTTTACGCGGAAATATCAGCGAGCGCGCGCACGCGCAGCGAATCCTTTGACGGGGACCGAAGCCCGGCGACAATGTTACGCATCGTACCTTCTCGATCAAACGCGCCGTCAGAAGAGGGACAGGTGTCCAAGTGCGCGGCACGAACGTACTACAATATGTGACAAGCGTGCCGCCGATCGACCCCTTTCGAACGGTGATGCTGCGCTCCGACTGAAAAAATAAACAGCCGAATCGGGGCGGAAAATTGACGTACGAACGTGAAATAAATGCCATTCTGCTTGGTATCTCGCGCAGCACGCGTTTTGCGTCGCTCGCGTATGTGCTCTTATCGTGTGACGAGTGTGTTCGCATGTATGATTACGACGCATAATATACGCGACGCAAACGGAAACGCCAAGATACATTTCGATACGGAAGTATAATGAGCGTCGGAACGTTTTATTTAAATAAAATATGAACCTTCCGGCGTAATTTATTGGAAGAATTTCGCACAGAAGTTTCCGCGTGATCCGCCACCTTTCCCGAATTACGCACGCGTGATTTCGAAGCGTAAATTAATATCACGAAACCAACGGGCATTGTGCAAAAAAAATTTATTTTTCGACGATGTATGGTTGCGAATATTCGCCAGAGAGCTGGTTGCAGATGTTGGACCCGAGTTATCATTTGATCGCAATTCAACGCTGCTAACATCGGGTCTGACATATTGTCCAGCGTCAAGTAATGGTTCGACACTAGGCCGTTTGTAAAATTCTATCGCCGCAATAGCTGAAATACACTCACTACACACAGATTTCCACAGGAGTAAAATTTTATTAATTAGAAAACGTGTCTGAAGGAGACTATCGTGCGTCACGTTAGTGTTTCCGACAATGAAATTTTACTCTGCGAGATGTGAGAATTTCGACGCGCGAATACGAATCACTTTAACAAGGAGAAACATGTTGGGAAGGGATATAGTCTCGTCGGCACTCGCGAATGTCGGGAATATTTATCGGCAGAAGCGCCGAATGAAATTGCCACTTTTATTTGGTCCCGGTCCGCTGTAACTACTCGTTCTCGTTTCGGTGCTTTCCATTTTTGCTGAAATTCTCAGATACATTATGAACACCTCGGCGGCTTTTACGATTTTCACGTCTCGCACGTGACAACGTTAAATTCGCGACTCGGCTGAAGTACATTGTTTTAGAAACTATCAGAAGGCAAATCCCGGATTAAGGTAATCGATGCGAGAGAATGAGAGCGAGTTAACGAAGTGTGTCGGATTATACGACGAAATACACATCGCATCGGCGAGAAGCGAACGAGACGAGTTCATAGGTTCGTTCGTACGAGAGAGAGGGAGAGAGTAAATTGCAAACAGACGCATCTCGTACATATCAGACGATAAAACTCGCTGAACTTTGGGTGGATAGACGCGCTGACGGGCCTGCGGAACGTAGAATCTGAAACTTGGAAACTTGCATGCGAAAGAGAGAGAGAGAGAGAGAGAGATGGCTTTCATGTAGGTACGTAAATATAACGGGACTTTTCCGGGGCTCAGCCGGCGGTGTAGCGCGCATCTACAGGAAGAAGGCAGGTTTATTCGCTGAACTTATAATGGCCTCGACTTCGAGGCGGATTTTATCCTCGTTACGGCCACTGGTAAAAACGGTACTGTTTGAAAGTGCATTAGCTCTCTTCCTCTCCCTCGCTATCTCCCCTTCTCTCTCGGGGATTCGTGCGCGATGCGCTCGGACAATCCCAAGACTTTTCGCCCCCTCGAGCCGGAGCGAGAGAGCATTGTGTCTCCGTAGCGAGCTGCATTGTTGCGCCGGAAGTGTAGCTCGCGTCTCCAGGACCATTCAACGGGAACGTTAAAACGGCCTGGATATCCGCGTCCTCGATGTCTTCGTCGTTATTAGCGTCGGTGACCGAATCTTTCTTCTGTCAATGGGACCATGTAACCGAGGAGCGCGCTGGTCCGATCGAGCGAGCGTAACTCTCTCACGTTTAACAATCTCGTCCTCCAGCGTGCCCGCGTAACAAACGGTCCTACGCTTGCTGTGTATAATATCGTATTAGACACGTAACCGTAAGAATGAATAAGTCAGCGGCAGTCTTTCACCTAGCTTGTAACGGGCGCCGGAGCTCATCGTATCTCGAGAGAGAATAATGCGTAGAGAATACGTTTTTATAGACACCGGCGGTGTATGCGCGCCCGAAGCGAGCGGAGAAAGCGCGACGGAAGCGCGACACCCTTCCCGACCGAGATCTCATTTTCATAAGCGCCTGTACATAATCGCCAAATTGTCACACTGTGGATCGAAGACCTGCGTTTGTCGGCGTTGTATGCGGTTTAATAAAAGAATGAGAAAAAGAAAACGAGCCAAACCGACTCTCGAGGATTCGATTCGCGGGTGGCGAACGGGGCTCACCGTTCTCGGCTCCGTTCGCTCGATCGTCGGCCGAATTCTCACGTCGTGCCGTCGTCGCTTCGTCAGCGCGAAATTTGACGGCACCGCCGCAACAACAACTCGTTATCCCCGTGATTTTTCCTCGCTGTTGATTACCGCCAGCGTCGCTTTAAAGGAGCCGTTTTAATTAATACTTGAGTTGACGAACGCTAATTACCTCCCTTTATGGCGCGAAGACTCTTTTACGCCTTTCCGCCTTCCCTCCGCTTTGTAATACGAGCCGGTCATCCCGCTCGTTAAATTTCACATACCGCGACCGTAACCTGGACGCGGACCGCAACATCTCTCTTGCTTTTCAAACCCGATGAGCGCGAGTCTCTCGCGTTTGTGTCCGTGCGAGAGATCGCCTTTACCGAGACGGCGTACTTCATAATTTAGTAATTTCATAGCGCCGCCGCCGGCGCCGCTTCGTCGCCTTTTGCTCGAAAGCGGAGCTACAATTGAATTGAAGAGAACGGCGATAAGCCAAGCGACGACGGCAATTATCGACGAGGCGCGAGACACGTCGGGGGATAATTATTCGAATAAGTTCCCAACAGCACGGCGGAGAATCAGCGGCCGGCGGAGAAGCGTGAGTACCTCCGAAGCAGTTCTCTAATGTTTTTACACGCGCAATAAACACACACACACACACACCTCTCGAATGTGTTCGACGTAGTCAGCACGACCGTTCTCATCGCTGTATAATTATTTCCATAATTATTATCTCCGCGGAAAGCGCAGAGGAAAGAGAAAACTTTCCGGGCAATAATTTCCATCGCGAATGTAATTATTAATGCCGCCGGGGACATTATATACCGTGCAGTTCATTATATGAGAATTAATAAATTTAATGACAGTCCCAGCGTGCGTCATATCGCGATGCCGCCAATGGCGACGCATTAGCACGGCGGCCCCGTCAATGCGAGACACGCATCCAATCGGAAAGTCGATAGACACTGTTACGTGACACTCTGCGATCACACGTTCCGTTTCACGTTGGATAACGTTCCTTTTTGTTTCTCATTTCATTCCCGAGATGAGCGCGATGTACATGCGCATCTATATACACATACATATATATTTTTTTTATGACGAAGCATAAAGCCCATCAGTAATAGGAATACTGCGAGGCATTCGCCGGGACGGTTCGGCAGATCGAATCTCACGAACAACAAATCAGTGACTATGGAATTAACGTCATCAATCAATCACAAATCCACCCCGTGCCCCGCGTAACTATTCGTCCGCGCTATGAATTCACCTCAATTCCGACTCTTTTGTGCTCTCTGATTCTTCCGTATGAAAAAAAAATGATCTCGCTTAGCGCGTTATAAAATTTAATCCGGTAGAAATCCGCGCGTATATAAAACGTTTGATATCCAACGAGGAGGAAAGTCTAGACAGAATAATTTGGAGAAACACAGTCTCTCGGATTAAGCCGGATATATCAGAACCCGAGACTTTTTTTATTGCGACGCGCGCGCGCACCGACGGTTTCAATGTTCGATTAACAGCGCCATCATCAGCGGCACGTATATGAATCCGGCATAGATTCTCGATCAAACAGCACGCTAATTCCGTCAGTTAGTGCTTGGTTAATACAATAGGTCAATCATCGGACGAGCCGACGCATGTGTGCCGAAATTCCTGTATCTATACGCGTAACCGATGTCGGCAGTCAATAGCCACCGCGAGGCTAGTATGTGTGTCGGATGGCATTGTCAGAAGTAATCACGTATATCGCATTGTCATAAGTATCCGTACGAACGAGCAGACTATAATGCATCGAGCGGGATATGAAGAGGGCTGTTGAAATTGTACCGCTCCAATTAGTATCTAAAGCGACGGATAGCGCAAGCGTCCTACCCTCCCTGCCCGCGCGAACATCGAATTTCTCCGGTGCGGCTTTTGGCTTTTGAGCGCAGCGCCGGTACGCGGCGCCAAGTCTCTCAACAATTATTCCGTTACGTGTTATTTCGAGAAACTCATCCGTGGATAACGATAAGCAAATGTTTGTGCGGGAGTTAGCGGCCGGGCCTAATCCGTGTACGACGGCAGAAGACCGTGAAACGCCCCGGAAAGGAAAGTCGATATAAATGTAAATAACAGGGCAAGACGACGCTCTTGACAAACAATTAGCGGCCACGTTGTCTTGCATATTCATGTCAGATTTCAGCTCGACTACTGTGTCGCGGCGAAGCGCTACCTACTGTGCTTGTAAATACGTACGTGATGTGCAAGGTGTCCGGGAAGTTCCGACGGAGCGTTCCGTGTGCAGGTAGAATGGGTTAAACCAGGTAGGAAAGTCATGTGCCATTTTGTGAAATTCACAATAGTTAATGAGTAATTAATTAATCTGTCTCTGAGCGAATGAGGGCCCGGGAAGTCGCAGCGAGCGGCGTGAGACATCCTTGTAAGCGTATAATGTTATTTAATATTAAGTAATATTCTAAGTATGTTGTTAGAATATGAGACGTAATATTCTAATAATATTCTAGTAATATTATTTAATGTTATTGCAATATTATATATTTTTTAAATATTTAACTTTATGTATATGTACAATATATATAATTGTAATTTTTATTTCAAATACGATGTGTATTTCAATAACGATCGTTTTATTATATAAATAAAGTCGAAATAATTTTGTATAAAAATACATTTTATATTAAAATATCACACACACACACACACACACACACACACAAAATGATTTCTATTATTATTATTTTATTTTTTTATATTCTAAAAACAGTTTTATAACATGCTAAGAATATTATGCGAAGTAGACTTATAACATCAATAAAACATTGCTATAATATTATTAGAATATTATTTTAATATTTAATAATATGCATATAATATTCTGGGAATATTATGCGCTTATAGGAATAAATTGCATTATTCTTCCTCTCGAAATCAGTTGTCGCTTATTATTTGTAGAAGATCCTAAGAAATAAGCTATTTTTCTGACACACTTGAAGTCATTTTTTGCACATGCCTGCGGAATCCGGTCTATCGCTTCCCACTTACTCATTAACTACTGCGAAATTTGCAAATGATATATGACCTTCCTACTCGATTCTAACTTTTCGAACACTCTGTATATATACGTTGATGTATTCTCCCTATTGATACAAAGTGTCACAAGCTGCAAATTCCGCGACGGTGAAAATTTTATGCAGAATTTATGGAAAATAGAGTAGAGATAGAACGGAGAAAAGAAAAATTCATATTTAGCGAGACTTTCGAAACAACTTCTTAGATTTAATCCACCTATCAGATTGGACTCAGAAATTTCTGATCAAATTAAAAGAGAAGCGTTCGCAAGTAAAACCTGCGAAAGGTCGGCGTTTCATTTGCTTGATCAATCTAAGAGGATTAACGCAAAAAAAATGACGTTACACAGAATTACCGTGTTAATATAATGAGATCGGTGAGACTGTACGGCAACTCGGCATGTGTGCGCACGCGCATGCAAACTACGTTTAATTATCCGGCATACATATACGTAACGTCAAATCCGATTTCCCGGTCAACTGTAACGAGCAGACTTTAGAAAGTATTTGCATTATTATAAGTGATTCAATCTCTGCTCTATCGCTCGGTTCTGCGCGTTCCTTTCCCAGCGAAATCAATCTGGACCGTCGAGGACGACGCTTTTATCAATTATCAACGAACCGTATACAACCGACAGCGGTGCGACGTTCCCCGTCGTGTCAGTAGTGCGTACGTTGCACCCTCGCGGAATCAGTATTAACAATCTTCCTCGTTTGCGCCCGTAGCCGTCGCCACTACTTCATCTCGTCGCGAACAAAGCGCTCGGCTGAAATTTCATTTAACTGCGAAATTAGGCACCGCGGTTGAATTACTTTTCAGGCAGGAAAGCGCGCGCGCATGACAGTTTGTCATAACTGGAAAACGGCCTTTGACGCTGCTCTCGGACGACGTAATCAGGCTTGATGAAATATTAGAGTTGCTTAGAACGTGTGAACTGGCGGCCGAGGGAAAGGTGTGCGCAGTGAGAGCGACTGTTTCGTTTTTCTTCATTTCCCTCGAAGCTGAAAACTGAGACGACAAGGAGAATTGCTGCGCAATATTCGCAGAATCGTATCAGGAGAATGTAACAAGCGTGGAGCTTGCATGACTTAACCTTTTCACCGATCCTGTTCTCTTAATATAAAACTAAAGTCCGATGGACTCCGCATGCTGCGCAGTTTTCGCAGAATCGTATCAGGAGAATATAACGAGCGTGGAGCTTGCATGACTCAACGCCTTAACCTTCTCGCTGATCCTGTACCCCTAATACCAAACTAAACTCCGATAGATTCCGCATGCTGCGCAATTTGAGCAGAATCGTATCAGGAGAATATCACGAGCGTGGAGCTTGCATGAATTAACCTTCTGGCCGATCCTGTTCTCCTAATACCAAACTAAACTCCGATAGATTCCGCATGCTGCGCAATTTTCACAGAATCGCATCAGGAGTATATAACGAGCGTGGAGCTTGCACGCCTTAAACTTCTCGCCGATCCTGTTCTACTAATACCAAACTAAACTTCGATAGATTCTGCATGCTGCGAAATTTACACAGAATCGTATCAGGAGAATATCACTAGCGTAGAGCTTGCATGACTTAACCTTCTCGCCGATCTTGTTCTCCTAATACCAAATTAAACTTCGATAGATTCCGCATACTGTGCAATTTTCGCAGAACCTCATCAGGAGAATATAACGAGCGTGGAGCTTGCATGACTTAACCTTCTCGCTGATCCTGTTCTCCTAATACCAAACTAAACTCCGATAGATTCCGGATGCCGTGAAATTTTCGCAGAATCGTATGAGGAGAATATAACGAGCGTGGAGCTTACATGACTCAACGCCTTAATTTTCTCGCTGATCCTGTACCCCTAATACC